TATATATCATGGAAGTAGAAAGAAATACATATCAATTAACAACTTGGGGAACAAATAAATTGACTAGATGGCTCCTTCCTATCTTCATCATCACGTTGCTCCATGTGACTATGTTTAATATTGATTGGCCAATAGCATTTATTCATGCATTAATAATCTTGTCTTGAGAATTATTTTTTTTGCTCCAACTTTGACATGAGTTGCCGCAGAGAAGTAGATAGGTTTGGGAGATAAGCTTCTCAACCAACCATGTCCCATGTAGTAATGGTCTTCTTAAATTTAGCTTCATCATTGATCACTTATTGATTTAATTTATCAAATGCAAATTACCTTTCAACACCCCCTCTTAATTTGCAATTTGAAGTAACTTCTTGAACTTCTCAAACTTATCACGGGTGACCGCCTTTGTCATGATATCTGCTGGCTGATCATCGGTGTTGATAAATTCCATCACGATTAATCCTTCGTTGACGAGGTCTCGGATGAAATGATGACGCAACTCGATATGCTTCGATCTTGCGTGAAATACTGGATTCTTTGTCATGGCTATGGCTGACATGTTGTCACAGTGAATAATGGTTGGACCATTTTCACTTTGCTGCAAATCAGAAATTAATCTTTTTAGCCATACCGCTTCGCATGTTGCTTCAGTAGTTGCGATATATTCTGCTTCCGCTGAAGATAGAGCCACAGTCTTCTGCTTCTTCGAACTCCATGAAATGGGTTTTGAACCCAAACAGAATATGTACCCCGATGTGCTTTTTCGATCATCCAGTGATCCTGCTCAGTCACTATCGGTAAATCCAGTCAGCTTGCTTTCTGCTTCTTTCTTGTACATCAGGCCCAATTTCTTTGTACCTTGAAGATACCGCAAAATTCTTTTGGCTGCTGCAAAATGAAGTTTGCTAGGTTCATTCATAAATCTTGATATAAGACTTACTGAATGACATATATCAGGCCTGGTATGTGTCAGGTAAATGAGTGACCCGACGAGACTTCTGTACAACTTTCCATCGACTTTTTCAGCTCCATCATTGCGTTGTAATTTCTCGTTTAACGCCATCGGTGTTGAGATTGGTTTGCACGTTGCCATGTGAAATCTTTTCAACATATCTTCGGTATACTTTTCCTGTGAAATAAAAATTTCTCCGGGTGACTGCTTCACTTGGATCCCAAGAAAATACTTCATGAGTCCCAAGTCCGTCATCTCGAATTCTTTCATCATGGTACTTTTGAATTCTTCGATCAAATGTTGATTTGTACCTGTGTAAATCAAGTCATCAACATACAAACACACCATTAGAAAATCATTTCCTTCTCCCTTTTTTATGTAGAGAGATGCTTCACTCGGACTTCTTTGAAATCCGTTCTGCTGAAAATATCGATCAATTCTGCTGTTCCAGGCTCTCGGTGCTTGCTTTAGCCCGTATAAAGCCTTTCGGAGACGATAGACTTTGTCTTCTTCTCCTTTTTTCTCATAGCCTTGTGGTTGTTCCACATAGACTTCTTCCTCCAGTTCTCCATTCAGAAATGCTGATTTGACATCTAGCTGGTATACTGGCAACTCCAGTTGAGCAGCTAGAGCGAGAACTGTTCTGATGGTCTCCATTCTCGCTACTGGTGCATATGTCTCGTGAAAATCAATGCCGGGCTGCTGTGAATAGCCCTTTGCCACCAGTCGAGCTTTGTACTTCTGGATAGTACCATCCTCATTGAATTTGATCTTATAGATCCATTTGAGACCTATGTCTTGTTTTTCTCGATCATGGAAATTTCTGCATCCATCGCCTCATTCCAAACTTCATCTTTGGTTGCTTCTTCAAAGACTTGAGGCTCACAAGAAAAATATGCAACATGACTTGTTTCATAAATTTCTCTCAAAGACCTTGTTCTCAATGGAGGTGAATCCGAGTATGTTACGACGTCTCTGAAGTTGTCTCCTTCTGAGCTAGGTGCAGAATTTCTTTCTGGACTAGCAACTGGATCTGGGTCGTTGCTGGGGTCTTCTGGAGTTGCTGAGTCCTCCAGAATTTCATAACTTGGTGGAGATTGAGAAATTGGATTTTCCCAATTCCACTCCGCCTTCTCATCAAAGATCACATCTCGGGAAACCACCACTTCATTCTTTACTGGATTGTAAAGACGATAGCCTTTGGACTCATCACTGTAGCCAGTGAAGATAAGCTTCTCTCCCTTCTGGTCAAACTTGTCTCGGTTTGGGGTAGAAATATGTGCATAAGCTATGCACCCAAAGACTTTGAGGTGATCCACCTGTGGCCTCCTGTGGTGCCACGCATGTATCGGTGTCTTGTTCCGAACTGCTTTGGTTGGTGATCTGTTGAGGATGTAAATTGTTGTATTGACCGCTTCTGCCCACAAGTTGTTGGGAAGCTTCTTTGCTTTGAGCATACTTCTCGCCATCTCCACAATCGTGCGATTTTTCCGTTCTGCCACGCCATTTTGTTGTGGTGTGTAACGGACCGTCAACTGTCTTTTTATCCCATTGTTGCGGCAATACTCCATTAACGGAGTATAAATAAATTCTCCTCCACGATCTGTACGGAGAGTTTTGATTTGATGGCCGCTTTCCTTCTCAGCTACTGCTTGGAATTGAAGGAACTTGGGAAAAGCTTCTGACTTTTGCTCCAGAAAGAATACCCACATCATTCTGGTGAAGTCATCTACAAATAGTAGAAAGTATCTTTTGCCACTGAGTGATTGTGTTCGGGTTGGACCGCATATGTCTGCATGTACCAACTCCAGTGGCGCTTTTGCTCTCCAAGATGTCTTTGGAAATGGTAAACGATGCATTTTGCCATATATGCATCCTTCACAGATCTTGTCTTCTCTGCTGATCTGGGGAAGTCCCACCACCATATTTTTCTGCTTCAGCAATTTGAGGCCTTTGAAGTTGAGATGACCGTATCTGAGATGCCATAGGAATGATTGATCCAGATTTTCACTCTTGAATGCTACTTCACCATTTTGTGACATAGCAAGAGAGAAAATTCTGTTGGAAGTCATCGGGACTTTGGCCACCATGAAATTGTCAGCTTTGTTGATAATCTCACACACGCCATTATCAAACAATAGCTTGTAATTTTTCAGCATCAGTTGTCCCACGCTAAGTAGATTGAGAGTTAGCTCCGGAACATACAAAACATCTCGAATGAGAGTTTTGTTGCCTTCTTCTGTGCATACAACAACTGTGCCTTTTCCTTCCACTTTTAGCTTCTTCCCGTTGCCCAATTTGACTTGAGAGCGGTATTTGTCATCGATGTCGGTGAAGGACTCCAGATCTCCAGTCATGTGGTTACTGCAACCACTATCCACCATCCAGGGAAGCTGTGATTTTTGCTCACCATTCAAGCATGACAAGGCCACCATATTGCTTTCTTCATTTTTGGTGCCGCTTGACTCGCCATCTTCTTGCTTGTTCTGGAACCAGCAATCTCTCTGGGAGTGGTTTTGAATTTTGCACTTGGTGCACTTGAATCTGCAATCTTTTGTTGCATGACCCGCCTTTTTGCAAATTATGCAACTCAAGCCGGTGTAGCCCGATCTTTGTTGTTGATAATTTTGTCTGTTGTTTCCTCTGTAATTGGATCTTCCTCTTCCTCTCCCTTGTGAGTTTCCCCCTCTCTGGCCTTGCTCCGATTTGGCATATTTACTTTCCGCCATGTTGACTTTTGACGAGAAAGCTTGCTCCAATGGCGGTTTGGTGAAGCGGCTCATTCTTTGCTCGTGTGCTACAAGTGAGCCCATCAACTCGCTCATTGGTAGATTTGCCAGATCTTTGGTTTCTTCAATGACAGCAACAATATGCTCGAACTTTGATGATAAACTGCGGAGAATTCTCTCCACAATTTTTCTTTCTTCCATGACATCACCGGTGGCTTTGATTTGGTTGACTATCTCTGCCACACGCGAATGGAAGTCTTTGATGGTGTCGGTTTCCTTCATCATTAAGTTGTCGAACTGTCGCCATAAACTTTGGCGCCTGATAGAGATTGCCTTTTCAGAACCTTGAAATTGTTCACGCAAGACATCCCAAGCTTCTTTGGCCTTTTTGATGCCATAGATTCTGGGGTAAATTGATTTGCTCACTGCTTGCTGAATGATTCTCAAGGCGCTGGCATTTTGCTTGGCATTCTCCTTGTACTCCTTTGTCCGCTTGCCTGATCGTTTCTTCGAGTCTTCATCATCTTCCTGTGGACTTTCATAGCCATCTTGGACTATATCCCATATATCTTGAGAGATGAAAATTGGCTCCATTTGGGCACTCCAGTACTCGTACAATTCTCCATCGAAAATGGGAATTTGATTAGAAGAGGTAGCAAACATGGTGTTTGAGGAAGTTGTTGCCATGGATTTTTGAGAGGATTGGGTAGGCTAGAAATTTGGGGATTTTTGAGAGGATAGAAGGGTATTAGCTCTGATACCAAATTTGTTGGGTATTAGCGGAATTGTGGTGGAAAATAGGATCAAAACAAAGAAAACTTTTGGTGTTTAATCACTCAATTTAGGAAACACTCAAACAAACAAGGCCTTATTATTTTGGCTCTTGCTTTACATACATACACGTAGAAGCCTTTCGCTCTTTCTTTTTTTTTTTTTTTTTTTGCTTCTCTCTGACTGACACCCTACTTCTCATGCCCATGCTTGTTACATATATATATATCATGGAAGTAGAAAGAAATACATATCAATTAACAACTTGGGGAACAAATAAATTGACTAGATGGCCCCTTCCTATCTTCATCATCACGTTGCTCCATGTGACTATGTTTAATATTGATTGGCCAATAGCATTTATTCATGCATTAATAATCTTGTCTTGAGAATTATTTTTTTTGCTCCAACTTTGACATGAGTTACCGCAGAGAAGTAGATAGGTTTGGGAGATAAGCTTCTCAACCAACCATGTCCCATGTAGTAATGGTCTTCTTAAATTTAGCTTCATCATTGATCACTTATTGATTTAATTTATCAAATGCAAATTACCTTTCAACAGACAATGGCTGCCGGTTTACGAAGAGTTCCCTGAGTTCATTGATAGATTGACCCAACTCTGCAAAAGATTTATTGAGCATCTCATTGGAAGCTATTTCACAATCAACAACGGAATCAAGAATTTGCTTTTGAAGCTTCAATATCTCTTTTGTCTTCTGAAAATACTTTTGGGCTAGACCGGATATCACATTCTCAAAGGATGATAGATGAAAAAAGGAGGAGATATTATTGAGAAGCGTCTTCAACAGAGATATCTCCATCAGAGTTACAAGTCACTGAAACGATCAAAGCGTATCTAACAAAGAAACAAAATAGATAAATTTGCATAAACATAGAGTGGACCTTAAAAGGAACTTAATGGTAATGACGGTAGCATGTCGTACTTGGTACAGATAATTCCACATGGTTAAAACAAGTATGATAATATCATAATATGGTACTACAGTAAACTCTTAAATCCTACTACAGAATTGCCACATGCGGGCATGCGCATGTACAAGGAAAAAACAGGGCAATCATAGAAATTCGCCCATGAATGCCATAATAACATCAATAGTTCGAATAAAAGGTAATAGTCTAATCATGATAACAGTATGGATTTACCTTCCTTGACCACAAATCCACAATCTTGTAAGTTTATGCATAAGAAGAGCTAACATCAACGCTCATTGGCTAAAGAGAAGACATATCTTCTTTCAATGCAGGGCAAACCAAAAAAAATGCCTGCGAAGCAATGTTTGCAAATCCCCTAACCAAACAGAATTTTACAATCGTCATCCTACAAAGTTCAAAAATCCAGAAAGACCATAGAACTCAAAAAACAAAAGACCTGCCTTGACCACAACCCCACAATCTTGTAAGTTTATGCATAAGAAGAGCTAACATCAATGCTCATTGGCTAAAGAGAAGACATATCTTCTTTCAATGCAGGGCAAACCAAAAAATGCATGTGAAGCAATGTTTGCAAATCCCCTAACAAGATAGAATTTTACAATCATCATCCTACAAAGTGCAAACATCTAGAAAGACCATAGAACTCAAACAACAAAATAACTGCCCAGAGAAAGAGTTTGGGTAGGAAGGAGGGAATTGGTGATTCTAGCTGGTGATTTGTCAAACTGATGACTACTGTAATCCATTGGCAGGTAAGAAACAGTTTGCAACACACACAGGCGTAAAACCAACAAGCTAACATTACATTAGAAACTAATGGGGGACGAAACTTTGAATCAATTAGCCATATAGCTAGATGAGTGCACATAGGATGGGCAACCATGGGCTCTGAATGGGGCATAAAAACTTAACTAATAATATGAGAGGACATTAGTTGTGGCTCCAAAATCATACTTCAGACCTCCTAGCAGAATCCATGTTACCACTAATTTACTCGTTTTCTCGCCAACTTCACCATGGAGAATGTGCAACAGGAATCCACAACTATAATTCTCTTACAAAAGGGAATTCGTAACTCGGATAGAGAGTTACAGAATATGATATGTCGGATGCATTTCCTCTTTGATTCTTTTCCAATTTTTCTATTTGTGGAGCTAAGCTCTACATATCAATAAATTTGATCTCACAAAAGACGATTTCTTTCTCAACCCATTCTACAGACTAGCTTATGCACCGAGATATTGCCCTCATCAAACACAGATCGAATAACAGAAACAATGCTAGCCTAGCATCTCATATCTTCATGTCAACTCCTGAAACTCATTTCCTAAAGTAGCACCGCCAATTTAACCATACTTCCGAAGAAACAAGATACAAATTCAGATGAAGAGAAATCAAACTACAACCAGCGGCTTGTTCAGACACAAAAACAGGAAAGGTTCATCAAACCTATCGACCCATTAGTGAACCAATCACGAGCCCAATCAACAAAGCCCCTGAACCAGTGCAACCAATAAAAGAGCTCCCATATCCTTAAAACAGTCAACCACCTTCACAACTACATGCCTGAAAATAGGTAAGTTTCTACTTTTTTTTTTTTGGAAGTAAGTTTCTACTCAGTCGTCTAAATTAATGGAAAAAATAGAAACAACATCAAGTTAAAACCAAGAAGATGGAAGTCAGAGAGAAGTATAAGTCTCATTTCATTTTAGCTCCCACAAACCGGCTGATTCTTTCAGCTCATTTCATTTCCAGATCCTTAAAATAGTCAACCATCTGAATTCTACCACCTTCACAACTACAGGCCTGAAAATAGGTAAGTTTCTACTCTTTTTTTTTTTTTAAGTTTCTACTCAGTCGTCTAAATTAATGGAAAATAGAAACAACATAAAGTTAAAACCAAGAAGATGGAAGTCAGAGAGAAGTAAAAGTCTCATTTCATATCAGCTCTCACAAACCGACTGATTCTCCACCCGACCAAGAAATTACAAAATCTTTCTACAAAAAAAATATGACAAACACAAGCACAATTCAATCAACTAATAAAGATAAGATGAAGCCGAAAACTTTTGAGAAAAGACAGAGCGGCAAAACCCAAGACAGATCGAAGCTCGAAGGAGGAAGAAACATGTACCTTCAATGGAGACAACTATATGAAGAAAATCACGGCAGAGAGTGAAAGAAAATATCGAGCACACAGAGAACGATTCGGAAAACCCTCAAGCAAGAAGTTGCAGGGTTGATTTCTATTTATACTCCATTTCCAGTTTTACTGTTCTCAAACGGTAAATAAAACAGAAAATCAAAAATCACCCTGACACGTGGTGAAGTCTCCAAAAGGTAAAGTAACGACTAGAAATTACAAAAACGACAGTGTTGCGTTTCGGACGAATGCTCGAAACGTTTCCCATACAACGAATCGTATTCGAGTCAGAAACGCATTTGAACTCCAGCTTCTTCGTTTCTCGCCAGTCGCCATTGGAGCTGACGAGCTCTGATCAAGTCTTCTTACAGCCTCCCTCAAGTTGGAGTGTCTGCACTCCAAGCTTGTCGAGCAATTCAGCAATTCGATACCTGCTCAAAGCCTTAGTAAAAAGGTCAGCAACTTGATCAGCTGTTCGAACATGAAAAGCTTGATTAACCCAAATTTTACTCTGTCTCTTGTTACGTGCATATCGATCTCGATATGCTTAGTCCTCTCGTGAAATACTGGGTTATCAGCAATATGAATCGCTGATCTGTTGTCACAGAAAACCGAAATGGGAAGCTTAATATTGACACTCAATTCTGCAAGTAAACCTTTCATCCACTGCAACTCACAAACCAATTGAGCCAAAGCTCGATACTCTGCTTCCGAGGATGACTTGGACACAGTCGTTTGTTTCTTCGCTTTCCAGGTCACAAGGGAATCTCCCAGGAACGTGCAATAACCACTAACAGTCCTTCTTGAGTCATGGCAGCTTGCCCAATCAGAGTCACTATAGCCTGAAAGCTGTAAAGAGGACTCACTTTTGAAGAAGATCCCTTGATTTGGTGTTCCCTTGATGTACCTGAGTACCCTGTAAGCAGCTCGAAGGTGTTCAGTGTAAGGATCCTTCTGAAACTAACTGAGTTGCTGCATAGGAAAGGTGAGATCTGGTCTAGTTGTTGTCAAATAGTGTAACCTCCCAACAAGTCTCCTATACTGCTCTGGATCCTCTAATGGTTGTCCCTGCTTAGCTCTCAAGTTCACCTTAGGGTCAAGAGGTGACTTACAAGGCTTAGCATCAATGTATAATGTGTCCTTTAGTAGTTCCAGGCAATACCTGCGTTGGCAAACAGAAATGCCTGCACTGCTTCTAGCAATTTCCAGACCCAAAAAGTATTTTAAAGTACCCAAATCCTTGAACTTGAATTCCTTACTGAGGAATGTCTTCACTTCTTCAACATCTTTTCTATCATCTCCCCCCAAGATAATGTCGTCGACATAAACCAACAGCACCACAAATCGACCATGAACCCACTTGGTGAACATAGAGTAGTCTGAGGTAGACTGTGTAAAACCATTTTTAAGCAGAGATGAAAAGAGCTTGGAAAACCATTGGCTGCTCGCCTGTTTTAAGCCATACAGAGATTTTCGAAGTCTGCAAACAAGTTTCTCTGGTCCATTTGCTCTAGGATCACCAGGTGATAAGACCATGTATACTTCCTCTTCCAAATCACCATGTAAGAAAGCATTTGAAACATCCATTTGATCTAAAACCCATCCTTTGCTGGCAGCAATGGCTAATAACGTTTTAACTGAATTGATTTTGGCCACAAGTGAATATGTGTCCAGAAAATCAATTCCATACACCTGAGTGAAGCCCTTTGCCACAAGTCTGGCTTTGTTTCTCTCAAGTCTACCATATGGCTTCCTTTTAATTTTGTATACCCACTCATTCCCTATTGCTTTCTTCCCAGGAGGCAATGGGACAACATCCCAAGTGTGGTTTGCCTCAAGTGCTTCCCTTTCTTCATCCATGGCTCTCCTCAAGTGCTCATATTGAGCTGCCTCAGCATAAGTGGTAGGTTCAACTTCAGAAATCACACTCAATGCATAAGCCTGATCAGTAGGGGAAAGGGACTCAATAGTAAGGTAACTGTCCATAGGATACTTGCTGGTCAAGCCAACATGATAATCTCCAAACTTGTTGCCTCTATTAGCTCTAACAGGTCTTGGCTCAAAGTAAGTTTGAGGAGCCAGTTCTGAAGCTTCAGAATCATCTGATTCAGTCTCCTCTAACTGATCAACAGGAGAAGAAGAGCAAGGAATATCAGGGGAAGGAGAAGGAACTGTGACTGAGGAATCAGAAGTGGAAGGAACTGAGGGAATTGCCTCCCTTGATTCCTCAGAAACAGGAGGATTGGGAGGAGAAAAGGGAATAGAATAAGGAGCCAAAGGTGGAGGGGAAGGAGGAAGTGAAGAGGAAGAGGGAGATTCAGATGCATGGGGGTTTTTAAAGGGTAAGATGGTTTCATAGAAAAGAACATTACGAGAAGTGAAGACTCGGTGATCAGATAAGTCAAGGAGCTTGTAACCCTTGATCCCAGCAGGAAAGCCAAGGAAGATGCACCGAATGGCTCGTGGATGGAACTTGGTACGACCATGAGCAAGGGTGGAAGCATAACCGAGGCAGCCAAAGACCTTTAAATTGCTGAGATCAGGTGGTCGATGGAACAGAATTTCATAAGGGGAACGATTCTGTAAAATGGGAGTGGGAAGTCGATTGATTAGATAAACAGAATGGAGGACACAGTCACTCCAGAATTGTAATGGGACACCAGATTGGAAACGAATGACCCTGGCAACATTCAAAATGTGTTGGTGCTTACGTTCAACACGACC